CATAATAATAATAATAATAATAATAATAATAATAATAATAATAATAATAATAATAATAATAATAATAATAATAATAATAATAATAATAATAATAATAATAATAATAATAATAATAATAATAATAATAATAATAATAATAATAATAATAATAATAATAATAATAATAATAATAATAATAATAATAATAATAATAATAATAATAATAATAATAATAATAATAATAATAATAATAATAATAATAATAATAATTTGGAGAGGAACCAGATCGCGATCCAGCATGGCGTATCGCGATATGGGGTGTTATACAGAAGAAAAAAAACCGAGGACTCAGATCGCGATCCAGATTTCTGTATCGCAATCTTGGGGGTCTTACAGAGAGCAAAAAGGGGGCATACCTAGATCGCAATCCAGATATCCGTATCGCAATCTTGGGGGTCTTACAGAAGCTAGAAGTTGCAGACCCAGATCGCCATCCAGATATCCGTATCGCGTCTGGCAGGTTTCACAGTAAGTAAAAAACGGCAGACCCAGATCGCGATCCACCCATTGCGTATCACGATATGGGGACGAGAACAGTTACAAATTCAAAACCCTTTTTTTCTTTTTTTCTCACTTCTTTCTTTTACAAAACTCGAAATCCTTTTCCCTCAAACCCTAGAACTTCAATTCTCTATCAAATTTTCTCATAAAACTTGCATATTTTTAGATTTTCATCAACAATTAACGATTATTTCTTGTTGTTATTGAGAATTGTGGACGAATCTTCAACAAATGTATGTTCTTGACCCAAATTTTTGAGTTTTGCTTGAAATTTCGAATTTCTTCCAATTTTCTTGTTTGTTCCCTTGATTTTTCATGGTTTATGCTTGTACGTATTTGTGTACTTGATTTTGGGATTTAAAAGCTTGATTAATTGGTTGAACCAATGTTGAGATATATGAATTGCCCTATTATGCTTAATTTCGGAATTCTTGTGGAAATTTTCTTGGGTTGAGTCTTTTATGCTTATTTTTGTCTGTTGATGGTTATTGATTGTTGTTGTTGTTGTGTTGATTGATGTATGAGGGTAAGATTTCGAAAGAAACGAACATTCAAAGAATCTCAAGAACTTGCGCGCGCCAAGTGTTCGACGAATTGTCGGAACCAAATCTCAAGCCTATTTGCACCCTTCATTCACACATGAATTCACTGCCAAACAAACTCCAAAGAACGGGTGAGAACTCCAATAAATCCCAACCGAAGGGAAAGGGAAAAGCTCCGGCAAAGAAGAAGGGCAAGGGTTAAACCAAAAGGGGGAAGAATGTACTTAAAACTCGCCTTCACATTCGGGTGGACCGGCCGAGCAAGCCATCCCCAGAACCGGTGACGTGCCACTCAACACGGGCACCCGTGCATGCTCATGAATGAAGTCACCTTCGACGAGCACGGTGAAGATATTTATGTGAATGTCGAAGCCAAGAGTGAGTATATCGACCGCTTCCCTCGATCGATCATCCCAGACGTGAGTTGGATGTGCGCACGATTGGATGTCCTTCGGTTGTCAACAACATCCTGGATAGGCATTGGAGAATCCTCGTTTGACAAAACGGGCACCTACAACGAGAATTTGGTCCGGCTATTCTACGCCAATGCCGGTCAATACAAGGGCTCGGTGGTTTTATCTGGGGCGTGGAAGTTTGCTATGATGCAAACGCCATCAATCGAGTCTACAAGATATCCCCTAATTATCTAAACATTCCAACCGAGCCGTTCCAAGCATTAAAGATGGAAACAACGTACCAACATCTCATTCTGGCCTTGTGCTCCAGAGGATCTTATTCGGCACACGGAGATAAATGGTTCTATCAAGCAGAGCTGTCGAGGGAGGCCAAGATCTGGATGTACTTCGTTTGCTCCCAACTCATGCCGACAGTTTTAACGGCCCGGACCTATGCCACTCGCCTCACGTTGATGTATGAAATCATGAAGGGAACCCCTCTGAACGTGGGTGCCATTATTCACTCGGAGATTTGACAGTGCATGGGCGACACCTCCTTGGGCCCGATGTTCCCGTCCCTCATCGGCCTTGTGCAAAGCGGCTAATGTCGCGATGTTTGCCGATGACAAAGTGACAAAGGCTCCAAAGCTGATCTTCCCGTTCGACAAGATCCAGCCAGCTTCTGGTCCACAGGGCGAGGGCGATGGCCCTGAACCACATGCACCACCATCCGATGATGCCCGACCAGCCCGACCCGCACCACGAGGCGGGAAACGACAGCAGACAGCAACAGCTCCGCCACTTCCAGAGTATATAGACGAGTGGATGGATGCTATGGAGGAGAACGTGGGCTGGTTCAGGAAGATGATCAAGGTGATGGTAGCAACATTACAGTGTAGGACGGACGACATAGTCGAGCCACAACCCTTCCCACCACGGCCTCAATTTGACGGAGCATCTTCCTCTAACGCAGCTGCCGAAGAAGCAGCACGAGCGGTAGCCACCACACTAGTGAGGCCAGTCTGGGAAGAGCACGAGCGTGGCCTTCGGGAGGACTAGGGACGAGCTATCGAGGAAGACCATGACATCTAGGGGATGTTGTGTTTTCTATCCCTTTTATTTTTTATTCTTCTTTGAGCATAGGGACTATGCTAGATTTCAAGTTTGAGGGTGGTGTTTGTTGAACTTGTTTTATTTGTTTTCTTTTTATTTCGTTTGTTTTGGATTGGTTTCGTTTATGATTTATCTTTACTAGACTTTGATTTTATTTTTATTTTATTTATCTTATTTTAATTTGGTCTTTTGCATGCATATCATATAATTT